CACGTGAGAAAAAGCAGAGTTTTTATTGGATATCGCTCGTCGCTCATCGCTCATCACGTCCAGTGTGCAGTAGCCATTAACCGTTAGTTGTGGAACAGGGGCTCTATTCTTGAAAAGAAACGTATACGAAAGTCTAGGGAAATGCTACAGTATACGTTACATATACTATAGTATTTTCCTAGACTTTCGTATACGTTTCTTTTCAAAAATAGAGCCCCAGGACCTAAGACTGGTTAAAGGCTTAAACACAATAGGCACAGGCAACAGGGAATAACGAGCCGTCCAATCAGAGCTCTGGGATATGTTATTGAACTTACACACCAGAGCTCTGATTGGGCAGCTCGTTATTTCCTGTTGTCTATGCGTATTATGTTTAAGCCTTAAGTTTTCCGATTACGAATTACTGACTCATTGCATGGTATAAGAAGAACATTGTAGAACCAGGCAGAACCAGGGCTTACCAGGGTAAAAGAAAGGGTCATATGTGATGTAGATTTTGAAGTAAAATTACCTCTCTCACTCTCTGCAATGAATAAATTAATCAACGTGTCGTCGAACGTTGACTTGGACGATCCAAGATTTCGTATCAAACCTTATCAACAAATTGTGGCTTCTTGCACTGGTGCATTTATAACATCGGTGTTTGGTAAGTTTGCAATAATGATAACTGAATAATTGTAGAATTTACGATTTTTGTTTCTTCTCTCTCTCTCTCTCTCTCTCTCTCTCTCTCACTCACTCACTCACTCACTCTCAGTGATTATTTATATATTATTTTTATTAAAATGTTAGATTAATTCAAAAATATATATATAATTTTTTTGTTTTCTATATACTTAGGAAAAGACTAGAGTGTTACCAATATTTCCAAAATATGCCATTTTTAAATCGCGTATCAACTTATGAAAATTACAAGATCTCATTATATTCTGTTGTCTATTCATGTTGTATATTCCTTTGAAGTTAAATGTAATATTTTTACATTTTTTGTTTTATAATCTAAAAATTATATTTGTTTTAATCTCTTTGGTTGCTTGTGCACTTTTTATAAGTAAAATTTTGTATATTTGTTTTTTTCTGATGTTTTTACTAGTAACTCCATTGGATGTGGTAAAAATACGTCTTCAAACACAACAGAAAGCGATGCTTTCAAATAAATGTTTTTTATATTGCAATGGTTTAATGGATCATTTATGTCCGTGTACCAACGGTAAAATGCCTGACTGGATGAAAAGAAATGGAAAATTTAATGGGACATTTGTATGTAATTACTAAACAATTGTGACATTAATATTTCTGGGTATTAATCATGAAACTTTATCCTTAGGATGGAAAGTGAAAAATGAAAATTTTTACAATTGAAGTTAATATAGAAATTTTTTACTTTTCACTTTTTATTCTAGGAAAAGAATTTCATGATTAATATCCTGTTTTCATATGAATTATGATATTTGAAATGCAATATCATATAAATCTTTTCTTTATACTAACATATTATAACAAATTAATTTTTATATTTTTTCTCCAATATACTTTTTTCTATAGTGACAAAATTTACCAAAAACTTTTTAGTATATAAATTGATAAAAAAAAATCTATAAATCTTGATCAAGCATTGTAAGGTCAAATTTTGTTGAAATGAAGAACATATGCTGATTGAATTAGATCTATTTACTTGAAAGAGTTTTTGATATATTGAATCATTGTCATATATAAGCATACAAAAAAATAAAATTTATTTTTACAAAAAGTATAAAATAATATTCATATAATTGTTTGCTCTTCCGATATCAAGATATAATATATAGTAAGGTATATACAGTGATGCCAATTTAGCGGTTTTCCAGCTAGATCTAGCGTTTTTTTGAGATTGTCTGGCTGCAAAATTTAGGAAATGCGGCTAGCCGTAATTCTGACAGGATTTTTTTTTGTTTTAAGCCGTATTTCTTGGATTTTTGCAGCTGGACAGCCTCTAGAAGACGCTGGATCTGGCTGGAAAACCGCTGGAAATTGGCATCACTGGGCGTATAGAATACACAGTCATAATATTATATACAAAGAGAAATCTTACAATTTAATAATGCCCACTCATTTGTTAATTTTATTAATTTTATTTTCAGGATGCTTTATTAAAAATAAGTGAAACAGAAGGTATAGCATCATTATGGAGTGGCTTAAGTCCTACTCTTATTCTAGCTGTACCTGCAACTGTAATTTATTTTGTTTCATACGAACAATTAAGATTATATTTGAAGGTATTAGTATTTTCATTGTGCGTGTGATAATTTGTTAACTTTAATTTATTTATATATAATATATGATCTTGGAACTTTAGATGAAATATCTAATATTATATATATATATATATAAAAACATACATACATACATACATATACATATGTGTGTGTGTATGTATGTGGGTACATATTTTTAGGATACATATAATAGACAATTTAAAAAGAAGGGAACCAATGTGGAACAACCTTTCTGGATTCCTATATTAGCTGGTGGCACAGCACGAATCTGGGCTGCAACACTGGTGAGTCCATTGGAGTTGATAAGAACAAAAATGCAATCACAGAAACTAAGTTATGCAGGTAGGATAAGTTAATGTAATATCAAATTGATATGTAAAGAAGCTTAAAATAAGATTTGACAATTTCAAATATGCTTTATGTGTTTCAGAAATAACACAGACATTAAAAATAGTTGTGAGATATAGTGGTATTTCTGGCTTGTGGATGGGATTGAGTTCAACTCTTCTTCGTGACGTTCCTTTTAGTGCTATATACTGGTTAAATTATGAAACTATAAAGAGACTGTATAGCTCACAGCAAACTTTTACTTTTAATCTGGTAGCAGGAGCTGTAGCTGGATCTGTATGTATTTCAGAAATATAATAATTACAATATTTTATATATATTCTCCCTCTCTCTCCCTCTCTCTCTCTCTCTCTCTCTCTCTCTCTCCAAAAAGATATGCTAAGATGTAAACATTATCGTAGATAGCAGCATTTTTCACTATTCCCTTTGATGTAGTAAAAACACATAGACAAATTGAAATGGGTGAAAAAGAAATTTATTCAGGTAAATATTTTATATACAATTACAGCCAATATTTTATATACGATTTTTCAGATACTTCCGACAATTAAAAAACAAAGTTGAAAAGTGAATATTCATTTGTTTTATACTGGCTACAATGTGTGATAAAAAAATATAAAAAATTTTTTAAAATAAAAAATCAAAGTAATCTTGAATTTTTTAAATGGCACCATACCATTTTTTTCCATAATATCGCAGGGATTTTCAAGACGAATTCAAATCACTAGCGAAATGTCACTTTTATTGATGTTTTACTGATTTTATTGCATATTTTATTAAATCAATACATGTGTGTATGTTCTGTGTTTTAGTCAGGGATTGTAAGTAATTTGATATTAAATCTCAATAAAATCAATAAAAATAAGTGACATTTGAGTAATGTGTGATTTAAATTTGTCTTGAAGATCTCTACAATATTATGAGGAAAAAATTGTATGGTGTTATATTTAAAAAATTTAAGATGACATTGATTTTTCGATGAAAACAATATTTTTTAAAATAAATCATGTTTTTCACTATTGTAGCCTATATAAAACGGATGAATATTCACCTTTCAACTTTTTTTTTAACTATCGAAAATTATTACGTTTACACGGCATGTTTTACGCCGAAGTTATAACATCGATGTTATGAAACTGGCCAATCATAGCTATTCCTCTGAAAAATGGAATGACTGTGATTGACCAGTTTCATAACATCGATGTTATAACTTCGGCGTAAAACATGCCGTGTAAACGTAGTAAATGTCTGAAAAATCGTGCGAATCATTACGCTAAACACCCTGTATAAAATTTATTAATGTGAATTTTTAGATAAACCTATTCGTAGTAGTACTACATGGACTATAATACAAAGGATCTATTATCAGAATGGATTAAAAGGTTTATTCACTGGACTAATACCGCGTTTGGTAAAAGTAGCCCCAGCTTGTGCAATTATGATTGCGAGTTTCGAACATGGCAAACGTTTCTTTCAATCGTATAATGCTAAAAAAGCTGTCGAATTTGAAATTGAACGTGATGTACATTTATTGCAACACAAACCTAATAATACAAAATGATATACTGAAAACAAATAATATGCTAAATAAAAAACTATAAAGTTACTAATTAAGGCTCATGCTTGATCACTACGTATTGAATTGTAATGTCAGAAGCAAAAAGATACATATATAAATAAAATTTTTACGAAACATTAAAATGTAAATATTTTTCAATCAAATAATATTTCCATTTGATGAAATATATGTGTAAAATATACTCAACCTCTCCTTTTAATTTGGAATAAAATAAAATATTTATTTCAATTTGACACACAGCTATCATATAATGTTTTGTCTTTTGGAGAAGAACAATTTAATTCCAAATATATAGTTTTTTGTTGATTACCGAGGTACAACGGTGTTGAATATTTTTTGGTATATTTTTCAAATTTATTATATCAATTAAAAATTGTCTGTTTTATTGAAAAATATATTTTAATATATTTTGCAAAAATTTTCTTCATGCATTTTTTCGATATCAATGTCAGAGATCTATGTCGCTCGTTTATACATTAACCGAATATATTCGGAGATCTCGCAATCGAGAGCAACCGAGGAGGTGGTTTGCATGAAAAATCTCTACATTTCTCTTTCCTATTACATATTGTCATCGAACATTTGGATACTCTTGAGAGGTACTCTGTTGAGGCCTATTGCGACTCTTTGATCTAGCGAGGACTCTCCACATCTAATCACCAAACTCGTTTTCTTTCACCCGTAGAAACGTGAATGATTTTTTATTTTATTTTAAAACTAGAGGGAAGATCATTTACTACCACGGGCCTATGTGGTACGCATATTTTATATATATATATAAAATCATTTATATCTTGATTTTAGTTGTATTTTATATATATATAATACAACTAAATTGAAGATATAATGCCAAATAACTTTGAAATATGTAATTCATTCATAAAACGAATAAAGCCCAACTTCTTCTCACAATACTTATTTTCTTCTTTGACATTTACATGTGTATATTATATTCAACATATACATGAAAAATTACATGCATGTATAATTTATTATTCTATATATAGACGAATTAGATCATCTTCTTTGGCAGGATAATGTGTTACTGGACATTTCTTTTTTATCCGTATTTCCAACAAAATACATTGATAGCAAAATATGTAACTAAAAAAATGGCGTAAAATTAATTTTGTATTTTATTTAAAAATAAAATAGAACAACTTTTATTGAGTGCTAAAATATTATCTATTTACCCAGATACCATAAGCACGGTATGTATATGATGAGGCTTATGACAAAGTGGACAAATTCCTTTATATTGCTGCGCTACATTTGGCACCTGTTAAAAAGATTGTATTTTGTTTTTGTTAGTAATTTAAATTATATCGATATTATATAATCGAATTATTATGCTAATTCATTGTATTTATTTTTACCTTTGGTGGCGGTGGAGCTGGAAGACTCATAATATCCATGTCATAATTTTCCTGATTCCACCAAGAAAGAAATTGTAAGAAGAAAGCTCCGAGTTCAAGAGATCCAGTAATGATTCTTTGAAGTATATTCCATCCATCAGAGACAGTGAATGAATTATATTTTATTTTCCTTAATAACTCGGTGACAGTGAGAGCAGATTGCGGATCGGCGTATGTCAATGTAACAGATAGTAGTCTTAGCAAGAATGATGGGTATATTGATTTCTCAGATACGTAAAGTATGTAATTATATAACACGAGAGTTTCATATGTTATAAAAAGAATTGAGAGTCCTTTAACGACACATTTATTGAAAAACTTTTGTCTCCTCTGTATCAAGAAATATTTAAGAAATATATTAAGAAATTACTGTACAACACACATGTATGAAATATTAACAGAAAAAAATTCTAAAAAATCAACAACTTCAGATATTAGCCTTTATTCGTATGAGGCTTTTATATAATTCTATATTTTCTTGATATACATAATAAAATAGCAGTACATACAATGATTAAAAGCTATTATAATACGCCTCTTCTGAAATGACATTTAACTGACACATTCTATTGCCTTAGATTGCTAGTACATCATAAAAAAACTTTCCTTTTAAGCGTAATTTTACCTTAAAGAAGATAATAATGTCTGCCAGAGTCAAGATGAATATGGAAGGTGGGTAGATTACTGTGATACCCTGTCGTTGATTAAAAGTTGCAAGATAACCTTGGCTGTGTGCACAGACACATTGTCGTGCAGGAGACCAATTCCTGAAGTGCTTAAATCATACCTAATGCGTCCCAATCCTTCCAAAAGCCATTTTAAAACCTCTAAATAAAATATTAAATTCACAATTTGACCTAAAGGAACAATTCCATGACAACGCGCACACACACACACCTGCATGCATAGCCAGGATTCTCAATTTTTGGTCAAAAAACAGATCATAGTAATTCCCACATTCACCTAATCCTGACAAACTTTTTTTATTCTGTAAGCCGATATTGATTGAATATTTCTTTTTTACTTTTCTATCATTTAATATAAAATTATACTTGAAAAAAAAATTCTTGATAACATAACAATCCGAGATATGTATTAAAACGCATTGGCTAAAGGTAATCCTGGAAGAGGAGTATTATAATAGCTTCCAATCACTGTACTGCCATTTTGTTGCATAAATGATTATATGGATTCCTTGAAATGAAAGACTGCTATCTGAATTCATTGATTTTTATAGAATTTTTGCCTTTTTAAACATACTGTGTGCATTTAAAAATGATAGTTATATCTTTTTTACTCGCCTTTCTTGATGTACTGTCTATGTTTTGTAGTTTATATTTTGTACTAAGTTGCACAAGTTTATTCTTTAAATATGGAAATGTCACTATTATTATTAATGATAATATTTGTTGTTTATGTGATAATTTTTCTTGTAATCCTGTCTTGGAATTAATTATTGTGACACGTTTCAAACCATAAAATGTTTCAGAAAATGATGCAACTAAAAATGATATATTTTTTTTCAAGAAATTATATGAAGATACATCATATATTAGATTACAGAAAGATACTTACAATATCTCTTTAGGTAATATCGTTGAAGAAATACATTAAAAATTAAATACCCTTCATCTGTCCATTGAAGAATATGCCCATATTTCTCAAGATTAAAAGATACAAGAAACTAAAATTATTAAAATTAAAGGCTTACATTTTAGAATACTAAATATAATATAAATATAATTCATACATATGTAAAACAATCAACAATTTTTTAAATGTAATGTAATATTAAGTAATTGATTGATTGATTGTTATTTTATAAACAATTATGTATGAAATAAATTAAAAAAAAATTTTTAGGATAATTATCCAGAAGATGTTCCTCGCCTTCAATTTCAATGAAATTATGCTCATTCGACGTGTTTTTGCATGAAACAAAAGAATCGATCTGGTATTAAAATGTTGTACTCGGTCCCTCGAAGTGAGATATTAATCGTTAGTTTTTTTTAATCGTTTAATTATTGTTATGTTAGGAAATCTGTCACATAGATGGTTGCATAGAGGGTTACATAAATTCTTTGTTTTATAAACACAAATTTTTTGCTTCAAAAATACAAGTTTTCTGCTTTGGAAACACAATCTATGTAATTTGTTCTACAATATCATTTTTGTTTTTATAATAGAGAATTTGTTTTTAAAGCAGAAAAATTGAATTTTTAAAGCAGAGAATTTGTGTTTATAAAACAGAACTCTCTACGCCATCGATGTGACAAATTTCCTAACCTAACCTAACAATAATTAACTAACGATTAATATCTCGCTTCGTTGGACCAAGCATATTTTACTGCTAAATTCTTTCGTTTCATGCAAAAACGTGTCGAATGGGCATAATTTCATTGAAATTGAAGATGGTGAGCATCTTCCAGATAAATATCGTATTGTTAATACATTTGGCACAATAAAAATGTCTAAAAATTATTTTGATAAATACGTTTTAAGAAAAATTATGCAATCAATTAATACTTTAAAGAGCAATATTATAACATGGCATTATGAGAAACACATTAAATGACAGTGTACCGAAAGAATTTTTTTAAAAGCCGGTTCAAGAGTCGATGCAAGGGATTCCTGTGCAATAATCTCAAATATAGAAGGCCTAATGTATGCAGTCCCAGTCAAATGAGCACCTTTTTCCGCCATAATCTGTTTGCATAGAAATATACCGTGATAATTATTTAGAATACGAGTCCCACCTAGAATCTTAATAAAAATGTACTTACTCGACGTATTTTCACTCAAAATGAAAGAATCTGGAAAAAAGAAAACGCGGCGGTCGGCCTCCGCGTTTTCATCATGAATCGAGTTATCAAGCGTTAAAGTACGAGATTTTAGAGGTTAAAATATTTGTCATCCCGACTCGATACTGCTCAATGTATACATTCTGCTTTAATTGCACAAATTCATTGCTTTATAAACACAAATTCACTGCTTTAAAAGCAAAAATTCACTATTTTAAGCACACATGCAAATTCTTTACATTAGCAGTGAATTTGTATTTTTAAAGCAGTGAATTTGTATTGTTATTGGTTTTATAGTGACTTTGTATTTGTAAAGCAATGAATTTGTTTTTAAAACAGTGAATTTGTGTTTGCGAAATAGAGAATTTGTGTAATAAATACAGAATGTATACATAGCGCTGTACCGAGTGGAGATGACAGATATCTTAACCTCTAAAGTCTTATAGCGTATTCGATTACTGACTCGATCCGACTCTGAGTCAACAGTCTGTTCTTTTTAGCTGCATTTCTTACACAATTTAGCTCTTCTTTTGTAGCTAAACAGAACAGACTACTGACTCGGAGTCGGGTCGAGTCAGTAAATCGAATACGCTATTTAACTTTTAACGCTTAAGGGCTTCACACATGAAATGCATAACAGAGCATAAGCATAACATAAAGCCGCTAAACCAATGAGCATCTTATGTAAATCAATATGGCGACATTATGTTAGATGCTCATTGGTCCAGCAGTCTTATGTTATGCTTATGCTCTGTTATGCATTTCATGTGTGAAAGCCCTTACCCCGGATCTACAATAGGGTTTTAAGCCTTAAGCCATAAGAAATGGGCGAATCATAGTCGCTTATTCTTCTCGGATTCGACTGTAAATGGTCAGTTTCTTACGGCATAAGGCATAAAACACCTATTGTAGATCCGGACTTAAGGCCGCAGCACAGACTTTTGCATAACGCATAACGCATAGTGCATAAGCGAATCAACTAATCAGAATCTTTCCTTTCCTCCCATTCCATGGGAGAGAAGAATTTCAATTGGTTGATTATGCACTATGCATTATGCGTTATGCAAGAGTCTGTGCTGCGGCCTTTAGCCAAATTACTATCGGCCATTTTACTATTTATTAATAGTTTTTTTCCGTAAGGGGGGCCTATGCTTCTTCCAGTAGTATATGTTCTAAGGTATTCATAATTAGGTTTTATAATTTAAAGGTGTGTTTACACGTACATTTCTAAACAGCCAAATAAGGCTGGTTCTACATTGGACGCCTTTTTGGAATTTTAAGGTTAGAATATTTTAGAAATGGTGCAATTTGGGCTATGGATTTGGTTTTAGCACGCCAGAAACCTTCGAGATTACATACTACCGTAATATCTCTGTATAATCGGTGTAAATTTAAGTCATCATTATAATTATAAAAAACATTCTCCCAAATATATTCCGACTAGATACTATAATTATCTCTAATATATCTTTATAATATACCTACGATAACATTTCAGATTTTACTATAAGCAACAATAATTATGGATATCTCAGGAATAACGTAAGAATATATTTTGCTTAAACTTTTGAGATATCTTAGTCCTTCTTTGGTGCGAACATTAGTATATCCTGTTGATATCTGCCATATATCCAGAGTCTATTGAATATCTTTGAGATATTGCGATATCCCAGCACGATATCTTGACGAGATTCCATAGATTTTTTTTGCTGTGTGGGTACTCGATATGTTTTGTTGTTAGCACATGATGAGGGGCTCTATTCTTGAAAAGAAACGTATACGAAAGTCTAGGGAAATACTATAGTATACGTAACGTATACTGTAGCATTTCCCTAGATTTTCGTATACGTTTCTTTTCAAGAATAGAGCCCTAGGTTAGTATCAAAGAAAAAGACAAGTACATTCTATTGAAATATTTAAAACTGATTCTTTCAATTAATGTAAATATTAAGTTGTAGATAGTTTTGTAACATGCATATACCTATAATACATTATTTGTATAAAAAATTTTTACCGAAGTCTTTCCCGAAGGACGTTCTGAGGACGTTCTGAGGGTGTCCTGAAAGTCCTAAAATAGTCCTGAATATATCTGTCCCACAAGGACGTCCTAAGAAAGTCCCACAAGGACGTTCTAAGACTATCCCAAGGACGTCCTGGGGCTGTCCCAAGAATGTCTTGAGGCTATCCCCACGACATCCTGAAAATGTTCAAAGGACGTCCTGAGGGTGTCCTGAAGATGATGCCCTAAGAATGTCCTCAGGACGTCCCGTGGAGATATGCATGTCCATAAAATGTCTAGGATGTCCTGGGACATATTCAGGATAATCCTGAGGACGTCTTGTGCTGTTAGGGTATATAGTATATATATATATAGTTTTTTTCATGAGTATATGTAATTATATATATGAACATATTTCATATATAATTGTTTATATATGATTACGTATGAAAACTTTTTCCCGAGTAGATATTCTGGGGGAATGATGTCGGCTAGTCAAGATTCATGATGTTATTCATTTATGTGCACAGCACAGTTAATAACAGTTAATAAGGACGAGTAAAAGACTCGTGAGCATCAATCCTTCGCCAATAGGCGGGTAAAAACAGCAACTTCTGCCAATAACGCTGATGCCAATTGCGTCGTCGACATCAACGCCGACACTAACGCCGACGCCAATGCCGACGCCAACGCCGACGCCAACGCCGACGCCAATGCCGACGCCAACGCCGACGCCAACGCCGACGCCGAGCGTCGATTACTTCTGTATATCAGTCGGGGCGCCATCCCGTCGCGGGGATGCTTCGTATAGTAAACGGTATAAAACGGGTGGTTGTGATCGCGTCACGTTTCTCAGGAGTAGATCCACACCCATGTCTAACGGTAATGCGTTGCTACGTACAAGTGTCGTGTGATATATCGTCGCACTCTATATCTTCTATTCATCCGTCATTGCTTTCTCGTCAATTCTGTGAATTTGTTGCGACTGAAAACACAATCTCGCGTCAACTTTTTTTTTCCTTCTCCAATGTATAGATAAAACCTGAGTCCACGCGCACATGACGAGGGAATCGTGATCTTCGAGTCGCGTGGCGCGCGTTGCAAGGATGTGGCGGATGTTGTCCAGATGTCCACCAAAGTGGCGGTAAAAAAGAATAATCGCGTATGATAGAAGCACCTACTACAAGATTTACAGAATTCGTGTGATAAAAATGACATATGTTTTTCTCTGATTTTTGTTACATATATTTTTTCTCAATTAAAAACTTTGTCATCCTAACTTCAATATAAATTTGATCGTTTGAGGTAGGGTAAAAGCAGGGAATGTGGAGTTAGGGCTACTAAAGTGAATAATATAGGGACTTACTTTTTAAATAAAGCACTGCAATTTGGCAGTAATCGGTGGAAGTTGGTGCAGTTGTTAAAACGTGTTATAACAAGCAATGAACTCGGTGCGACAACGTGCATCATTAGTATAAGCGTTTATTTATTTTTTTTTTTTGCGTCTGTGAGGATTCGAGAGCTTTATTTAAAAAGTATTCTCACAAATAAAAGGTAAGTTTGTTAATGCTTATATTACACAGATTTTAATGCTTTTAATAATGTTGTATGAACAACATTATACTGATTATAATTGCGATTTCTAACTTGTTTATTGCCACGGAAAGACTTTACTTGTCATATGAAAATATGCAAATAATATGGAATACATCGAAGGTTGAGAATTGGTTCTTGTTGTGAAAAATGTTTATTTTAGTTGTTAATATTTATTTTGCATAATTATTTAATGATATAAAAAAACAGGAATTATTTTAACTCCATTTTAATCAATTTACATAAATAAACAAATTTTCACTTTATTTATTGTATTATTTATTACTTTTCCCCAAATTTAATCGGTATTCCATATTAAATCCTATTTTTTAGACCCTTCTACTTTCACACCTTACTTTTTTGTTAATGTCTTCTAAAATTTTGTTTGGATTTAAATTTTGGCGATTCTCATTCATGGAATGTTGTAGCTAACATATTTTTCAAGAATTCTGTATAAATTTAAAATTTTCATATGCATTTATATCGAAGTAATATTAATTTAAAAACCGATATTCCTTGCTTTTATCCTATTTGTTAAATAAATTAAAACAGCCTACAGATAGCCATACACTTAAAGCTAAAAAATTGCATTCGATTGCATTAGATTTTGTTTGTTCAAATATAAAAATCTTCTCTCTCATGTTTATGAAATTCGATATTCAACGATGGAAATCGGAAAATCACTCCATCGCGAGCAATTCTTCTGAATGTATTCCACAGTTAGATTTATTTGGAGAGTAACTAAAGATTACGTTGAATAATATTGAATAATGACCACGTTTACACAGCATCCTTAATCGGGTTTAATATAACATCTGTAGTTATGAAAACAACTAGCTATGATTAAGAGTGACTGTGTAAACGTAGTTTATGTTTGCACCGTGATGTTGCATATCGTGAGATTTTTGCGTGTTATATCGTTGTCACTCCGTAAATCCGTCCCATTGGGAAACATCTCTGCAAGCGTTGTTAGGGATGGGGGTGCTTTTTACGATGTACTGCACGCGTAGTTGAATACGTAATAATAAGCGCATATATATAATAAGCGTTCGACGACTTTGATAAGACTAGATTAATTTTGTATCCTCCCCCCCCCCTCCCCCCGACGCCTGCGTATTATAGCTAAACTCTCACATTGAGCAATTGATTTTGCAATCTTTATATAAATCGCGCGAATGCGTTGCCATCATGTAACTATCGCTATATATTTTCTAAATCGTTGATATGTGGTTGTTTCGACATTACCACAATCGTGCAATTTATTTATGTTTGTATATTTTTTTTGTAATTATTATAGATAAATATTATGGAAAAAATATTTAGATACATACACATATATATAAAGTTCAATAAAAATATTCTGAAATTTAATGTAACATATTTTTAGAAAAATATAATAAATTTTACGATATATAAATTCAGCTAGTGTCTGCTGTTATTTATATATATAATTATTTTGGTAATTATCTATATAGATGAATAAATGACTTATATTATTTTTATCTTGGCTATTAGAATATGTATTAGCTCCATCTTTATATTTATCTTAGATAAAAAATAAGTGTAATCTTTTTAAATTATCTTAATGTGTAGCGAATTTATGCACCCCTTTCTCTCCAGTATAAGATTTTAAACAATTTCTTTTTTATAAAAAAAGTAATTTTTTAAGAAATAGAGATTTCTATTATATGTGGAAATATGAATATATCGTTTCTATATTCTAAATCATTTTGTTTAAAAGCGATATGATCTTAAAATTATCTAGATGAAAC